GCATCAAGCAGACCTCACAAAACTGGAATCAGTGGGTATCAGGAGGCAAACTGTCTGGTGGTTGGAGTCATACTTGGCACATAGAAAGATGGTAGTGGTTATTGGAGGTCAGTCATCTTAGCTCTAGGACCTCTCTGCAGGAGTTCCTCAGGGTAATGTTCTAGGCCCAACCATTTTAAGCTGCTTCAATGACCTTCCCTCCATCACAAGGTCAGAAGTGGGGAAGTTCGCCGATGATTGCCAGTATTTGGCACCATTCGCAACTCCTCAGATACTGAAGCAGTCCATATTCAAATGCAATAAGATCTGGACAAATCCAGGCTTGGGCTGACAAGTGGCAAGTAACATTCATGCCACACAAATGCCAGGCTATGACCATCAGTAACATGAGACAGTCTGACCACTGCCCTTGATTAGTCAATGGTTTTACCATCACTGAATCCCTGATTGACCAGAAACTCAACTGGACTCACGACATAAACACAGTAGCTACAGCTACTTTTGGAATACTGCATTCAACTCTGGTCTCCCTGCTATAGGATGTTGTGAAACTTGGAAAGGGCTCAGAAAAGATTTACAAAAACGTTGTCAGGTTTGGACGGTTTGAGCTATAGGGAGAGGCTGAATAGGCCGAGGCTATTTTCCCTGGAGTGTTGGAGACTGAAGGGGGCACGTTATAGAGGTTTATAAAATCGTGAGGGGCATGGATAGGGTGAATAAGCCAAGGTCTTTTCCCCAGGGTCAGACAGTCCAAAACCAGACAGCATAGGTTTAATGTGAGAGGGGACAGTAAAAGGGATCTAAGAAGCAACTTATTCAGAGGATGGTGCATGTATGAAATGAGCTGCCAGAGGTGGTGGTGGAGGCTGGTACAATAACAAGACATCTGGATGGGTACATAAATAGGAAGGGTTTAGAGGGATATGGGCCAAATGCTGGCAAATGGAACTAGATCTGTTTAGGATATCTGGTCAGCACAAACGAGCAGGCCCAAAGAGTTTCCGTGCTGTATGACTGAATGTAACATCACTGGATGTTCCTTCAGAAATATCTTCTAAGTCTTGCAATAATGCTTCCCTTAATCAAAAATGCCTCTCCCCATCCTCGCTTACCTCCCTTTCTATCCTTCCTATAGCACCTAACGCTCGGAACATTGTGCTGCCAGTCTTGTCCCTGCCTCAGCCATGCTTCTGTAATATCTCTGATGTCCCAATTCCATGTTCCCATACATGCCTGGAGTTCATCTGCCTTACCTGCAAGACCCCTTGCAATGAAATAAATGCAGTTTAATTCAGAGTTGCCTCATTCTCCGACTTGTTCTTGCCTATTTTTCTAATTAACTTTTTTTTAAATTCAGAAACATTCACAGCTGTCTTTCTCACTACTATTTAGGATTTCCCCCCCCCCACTAACAAAGAGTATATTTGTTTAAGAGAAGAACAGCCACAGGAGACTCCTGATCTACCTTCCTATCTCCCCTGACAGTCACCCATCTGACTGAACCTGTAGTATAACCGTCTCTCTAAATCTACTAACCATCACACTGTCTCCTGTATGTTCCTGAATGAATAACAGCAAGAAAACTATTTTAGAGGAGTTAGTTGCTGTTTCAATCGCCATGTCAACATTTAGAAATGAGAGATACCCAGCTAAGGAAAAGGAAACCGGATGAGAGAGTCCTACTCATAAATCAACATTAAACACTAACACAGATTGGTCAGATATGTTTCTGGGTTGGGGTTCCATATAACTTTGTGGCTTCTTGCTTTTCATATGATTATTATTTCTTACTTTGGCAGATTATCTTAGTTATTTTGGGACTAACTATCTCTGCACTGAATGAAGAAATAGAAGCAACACTGCAGAGAAATGCAACAAAATGAAAACAAGGAACATAAATCCAATGTAAATGTGAAGATGACCAAAATCTTAGTGATATGCAGAAATCTTACCCTGGAAGTGAAACCAAGGTAAGTGGACAAATCCTGGAACAAAGAAAGATTCACATACCTTGAATAATTATCCCAGACAATGGGAGACATGATTGAGAGATCGGAAAGAGAACTGAGATAACCTTTGTTAGAATGAAAGCATGTTAACTTCAAATAAATTTACCTAGCATCTCTGAATCTCAGACTATTGATAAGCTGATGCATTTGAAATGCATGTCTGACAATGAAGCAGTGCTAGAAATGGCTGAGAGAAAAAAAGAACTGAGTAGATAACATCAAAGAGAGAAAGATATATTTTAGTTACATCATGTTCTTATTGGAGATAGAGATTCACGGAAAAGATAGGAGAGCGAAGCAGTGAAAATGGATGATAGATCTAACTGCTGACTTATGGTGATTATGTAACAGCATAGATAGGACAGAACCATGGGAAAATAGAGGGCAACATTTTCACACATAGGCTGGTTTGTATGTGGAATGAACCGCCAGGGGAAATGGTAGATGCAAGTACAGTTACAGTTACAACATATAAAAGACATTTGGAAAGTACATGAATGGGAAAGGTTTAAAGGGATATAGGCCAAACGCAGACAAATGGGACTAGCCTAGCTTGGGAAACTTGGTCAGTATGGACAAGTTGGACCAAAGGGCATGATTCCGTGCTGTATGACTGTGACTTGTTAGAAAAACATTACTGGCTCATCAATGAACAAAACTAATCAAAGAACTGCGGAGAGAAACAGATAATGTTTCATGTCCAGTGATCCTTCTTCAGAAAAGTTCTGCTGAATTTTTCTAGCAATTTGTGTTTTGATTAATCAAATGTCATTGTAAAAAGGATCACTTCAATGCTATTTGGCACAAGCGCTACTTTACTCTAGTTTGTGTAGCATGCTGACTAGGACTAACTAGAAATCAAAAGTAAAGTCAACAGATATTGTGCCAAAACTGAACCCTGTGGGCACCATTACTCACTTCCAGCCACTAGAAAAAGCAGCCCTTAGCTGCTACTTTTGTTTTTCATTTAATTGTATTTCCCACCATACCCTTAATTCTATAGCCTTTAACTTTCACCACAGCTGTCACAGGATTTCTAGAAGTTTCCAAAAGTCCACAAACACAATATCTGCATTTCTCAGAACTACCAGATAACTTTCAGACTAGTCAGGCACTAGCTTCCTTTGCTGAATCTGTGTTGATTGTTTCTAATGACTTCAATATGTCTTCAAAGATTCCAAAATTTTCCCCACCGCAGATGTTCGATGAACTGGCCTATGATTACATGAATGAAGATCTGCCTCTCTTTTTGACACAACAATCAAAGGCATATCAGCACCTGATCAAGGGCTTGGACATTAGATAGGATGTGCTACTAGTAGTTACACTCCTGCTTCAGATCCTGCTCACTGCAGTCCCCAACTTGATAACATCCCTCCCCACTCCCCTCCAATACCCATATCACTTACATTTGTTCTCAATCCTTGCGATCCTGGCTGCTCTTGCACCAGTGGCATTACACAAGAGCTACCTGCCTCTGATTGGCCAAAAAACCTTATTGGGTGGACCTATCCTTGAAAAGGCGGTGAAGGGCTGCCTTCTTGAACTGCTGTTATGTTGTGCAGGTACCTCCATAGTGCTGAGCAGACAGAGTTCCAGGATGTTGATGCAGTGGCAATGAAGGAGCAGCGATATATTTCAAAGTCAGGGTGGTGTGTGACTTGGAGGGGAATTTGCAGTGGGTTATGTTCTTATGTATCTGCTGCCTTTGTCCTTCCAAGTGGTAGAAGTCTTAGGTCTGGAAAGTGCTGTTGAGATACCTTGATGACTTATTGTACTGGATCTACTTGTGACAGCACAGTGGCTCAGTAGTTAGCACTGCTGCCTCAGTGCCAGGGACCCAGGTTCGATTCCCGCCTCGGGCAACTATTTGTGTAGTGTGGATTGTGTAGTGACATTCTGCCAGTGTCTGTGTGGGTTTCCTCTGGGCACTCCAGTTTCCTCCCACAGTCCAAAGATGTACAGGGTAGGTGGATTGGCCATGATAAATTGCCTGTAGTGTTCAGGGATGTGTAGATTAGGTGGGTTATAGGGTGATGGGTCTGGGTGTGAGGGTCGGTGTGGACTTGTTGGGCCGAAGGGCCTGTTTTCCACACTGTAGGGATTCTATGACCTTGTAGATGGTATACACTCCTTTTACTAGAGATCAGTAATGGAGGTTTTCATCTCTTTTGCCCATGGTTAGACCAAGGCTATGAAGAGGTTGAGAGTTGAGTGCCCTGGTGGTTCACAAACTATTTTAACCATTTCCCACAGCATCCAAGGGCATAGCCCATCAGCTCGTGGCATCTTGTCCTCTTAATTTAACTAACACCCAAGTACCTGCTTTTTTAAAATCATTTATCTTGAAGAAGCACATCCAATCATGACTTGAAAATTTACTGCTGTTCCATCAGTGCCAATGCATCAAAATCTTGGAACGCCCTCCCTAATGGCTTTATGGGTGTAGCTACATCAAATGGACTGTCCAGGCAAAGAGACACAAAGTATCATCCAATCCTGGGCTCAGAGCAGCCACCGACTAAATCTCATACATGAAGTAAAATCAGAGGTTAGATAACAACAAAGTTTGGATTCCTCTCACAGCTGCATCATGTACTGGGTCAGGATACAGCCTACTGCTGCTGCAAATTTATTAATGTTAATGTTAGCAAGGAGATTGCAACTGGGATACTTCCAACAGTACAGGGCTCATTCAGTCCTGGCCCCGTCCTTGACGGTGCAGCACTCTCATTGTCCTGCACCCCAGCCTCGACATTACTGACCCGCTGCTAGTATTGAGGGAGCACTACACTACACAAGTCCATAGTCACAGAACTATTTTTTTTAAAGTGGAGACAGAAACCGAATAATGCTAAAATTGCAAAATAATAAGCAGTGGACATTTACTGCCGCTACTATTAATTTGATAATATTAATCTTGAAATAGTTAATAAACACACTACCAGTTATATAAATATATTCAAATATTTGATAATGTTTCTTTCTTACCTGTTCCTGGTGCCATGTTGTCTTCTGGATTGTCCTCATGACCCACATCCCAGTACATCTCAGTAATAACTGCTTTTCTGATCTCAGGATGTGATCTCAATTCATTGCACAGTGTCTAATGTTCTCAGAGTCTTCTTCAACATTTACTCCCTAATAAAGATACAAATATTAATCAGTTACTTGTCCCTCTTAAGCTTGCCCCTATTTCCTGGAGGAATTCTTGCACTCACTCTGCCTCCTCATGTGAATATCCAGTCAACAGGCTTAACTGCAGGTAGCCACACATAGTGAGGTGAATCATTTTTAAATAATTTGTCCATGGGATGTGTGCATTGCTAGGCCAGCATTTATTGCCCACCCTTAATCGCTCAGAGGGCAATGAAAAGTCAACCAATCACTGTGGATCTGAAGTTACAAAGCCTAGACCAACCAACCATGGCAGATTTCCTTTCCTAAAAAAGGAAAAAAGAGTAAACCAGATGGATTTTTAACAATCAATATTGGTTACGTGGTCCCCACTAAACTAGCTAATTTTTTATTCCTGATCTTTTTTATTGAATTCAAATTTCACCACATGTCATTATTCAAACCCACGTCATCAGAATATTCACTGAGGGTTCTCGATTACTAGCCCAATGATATTATCACTACACCTTCACATTCTTGTGCAATAAAGTGAGTTGAGGAACCATCTTCCATTTGGGTCAGTTAGTTATTCAGACCAGAGTATAGAAACTCTGGAATGAACAGATTGAAAATCCTTGCATTAAGTAACCGACTTGAAAGATCAGTTAAGTTAGCTAAGTTTACTTACGCGCCCAAACTTTCGAAACCTGATCCAGGAACACAAAATTGCGAGGGCTGAAAATGCACTTGCGCAGCAAACATTCAGAGATAACAAGGTGTAGAGCTGGATGAACACAGCAGGCCAAGCAGCATCAGAGGAGCAGGAAAGCTGATGTTTCGGCTCTGGACCCTTATTCAGAAATGGGGGAGGGAAAGGGGATTCTGAAATAAAGAGAGAGAGAGGGGAGGCGGATGGAAGATGGATAAAGGAGCAGATAGGTGGAGAGAAGATGGACAGGTCAAGGAGGCAGGGATGGAGCCAGTAAAGGTGAGTGTAGGTGGGGAGTTAGGGTGGGGACTGGTCAGTCCAGGGAAGACAGACAGATCAAGGAGGCGGGGACGAGGCTGGTAGTAGGAGGTAGGTGGTGGAAGGTGGGAGAAAGAATGGACAGGTTAGGGAGGCAGGGACGAGCTGGGCTGGTTGTGGGATGTGGTCAGGGGCAGGGAGATTTTTGAAGCTTGTGAAGTCCACATTGAGACCATTGGGCTGCAGGGTTCCCAAGCGAAATATGAGGTGCTGTTCCTGCAACCTTCAGGTGGCATCACTGTGGCACTGGAGGAGGCCTAGGATGGACATGTCGTCCAAGGAGTGGGAGGGGGAGTTGAAGTGGTTTGCGACTGGGGGGTGCAGTCGTTTGTCGCGAACCGAGCGTAGGTGTCCATAAAGCGGTCTCCAAGCCTCCGCTTCGTTTCCCTGATGTACAGGAGGCCACATCGGGAACAGCGGATACAGTCTACCACATTAGCAGAAAAGCAGGTGAACATCTGTTTGATGTGGAAGGTTTTCTTGGGACCTGGGATGGGGGTGGGGGCGGGGGGAGGTGTAGGGGCAGGTGTAGCACTTCCTGCGGTTGCAGGGAAAAGTGCCGGGGGTGGTGGGTAGTGTGGAGCGGACAAGGGAGTCACGGAGAGTGGTCCCTCTGGATGGCAGATAAGGGTAGGGAGGGAATAATGTCTTTGGTAGTGGGGTCAGATTGCAGGTGGCAGAAGTGCCGGAGGATGATGCATTGGATCCGGAGGTTGGTGGGGTGGTACGTGAGGACGAGGAGGATTCTGTTTTTGTTGTTATTGCGGGGAGGGGGTGTGAGGGATGAGTTGCAGGAAACGCGAGTGATGCGGTCGAGGGCATTTTCGACTACTGTGGAGGGGAAGTTGCGGTCCTTGAAAAACAAGGACATCTGGGATGCCCGGGAGTGGAATGCCTCATCTCGGGAGCAGATGCGGCAGAGGCGAAGAAATTGGGAATAGGGGATGGCGTTTTTGCAGGAAGGTGGGTGAGAGGAGATATATTCTGGGTAGCTGTGGGCATCGGTAGGCTTGAAATGGATATTGGTTTCCAGGTCGTTGCCAGAGATGGAGACAGAGAGGTCCAGGAAGGAGAGAGGTATCGGAGATGGTCCAGGTGAACTTAAGGTTGGGGTGGAAGGTGTTAGTGAAGTGGATGAATTGTTCGAGCTCCTCGTGGGAGCACGAGGCAGCACCGATACAGTCATCGATGTAACGGAGGAAGACGTGGGGGATAGGGCCAGTGTAGCTACGGAAGAGGGATTGTTCCACGTATCCTCCAAAGAGGCAGACATAGCTTGGGCCCATGCAAGCATTCAGCAGTCTATATTTGAGCAGATTACAAATTTAAAACAAGTGCACACAAGATTTCCACAAGTGTGACGACGTACTATTGCACTGCACTCAGACATTTCATCTTTCATTCATGGAACATTGGGTGTCACTGGCAGCTGCACACCCTAGCTGCCCTCTTGAACCACTGCTGTTCACATGCGGTGGTTGATTCACAATGCCCTCAGGGAGGGAATTCCAGGATTTTGACACAGCAATTGTGAAGGAATGGTGGTATATTTCCAAGTCAAGATGGTGAGCGGCTTGGAGGGGAAATTGCAGGTGGTGGTGTTCCATTTTCCTGCTGCCCTTGTCCTTCTAGGTGGGAGTGATTGTGGGTTTGGAAGGTGCCGTCAGAGGATCTTTGGTGAATTTCTGCAGTACATCTTGCAGATAGTACACACTGCTGCTACTGAGAGGCAGTGGTAGATGGAATGAACGCTTGTGGATATGATGCCAATCAAACAGGCGGCTTTGTCCTGAATGGTGTCAAGCTTTGCGTGTTGTTGGAGCTACACCTGTTCAGGCCAGTGGGGAGCATTCCATTACACTCCTGACTTGTACCTTGTAGATGGTGCACAGGCTTTGGAGAGTCAGGAGGTGTGTTACCTGTCCAGAGAAACATGCTGGCCATTTCTCTGATGTATTTATTATTCATCCATTTAGCAGTTACCTTTATATAAGGCAACTTGCACTACACATTCTGTAAAGTCCTACATTTAAGTTTAAACATATCCTAAGAGAGAAATTAAAAGTCCTCATTTTAATATTCAGACACTGGAAAATAGGGATTTATGGTTACCCAAAGTTTAGTACAAAAGGTAAATCTAGACTTACAACGTGCCCAGTTAACTAAAATGATGTTTAAGCAGCCACCACAACAGAAGCAGAAAAGATTAATCATTAGTTTTCCTTCCTGTTTTGCAAACTTCTCCTTTTTGGTTAGTGACTTCAAGAGAGTCTTTTTTTAAAAACTTGTTTATGGGGTCCTGGCAATTACATTATTTGAATGCTGTCCCCGTGCTCTTGAATTGTAATGTTCTTCAGAAAGCACAGAGAAAAAGTCAGACCAGAAGAATGCTTGCAGGATAGCCTAGAGCTGCATAGAGGCCAAACAGATTGGGGAAGGAAATATCTCATTCTTACCAAAGAACAGTAGTGAACCAGATGATAACATCTATTAATTAATTCAATTTAAATTGCACGAGTTGCCATTTTAGGACTTGAACCCATGTTCTAGAGCAATAGCCTGAGCCTCCAGTGTACACCACCTTCCTATTCCTGAAATAAACTCCTTTCAAACTTGTCCAAATGCAAAAAAAAACAACAAAAAGTGAGACAGACAAATGGAAATCATGGTGGAGACGAGTGTGAAGAGCCTACACCTGTGAGAGATAAGGGGAGAGTGAGTTTTATTTAGAAATTTTGATCAAAATGAGAATTCAGCTTTTCAATGTTAGATCTAATTCTGAGTTCTACTCTAAGATATAACACAGTGTGGAGCTGGAGGAACACAGCAGGCCAGGCAGCATCAGAGGAACAGGAAAGCTGACGTTTTGGGTCAGGATCCTTCAGAAATGGGGGGAGGGGTAGGGGATTCTGAAACAAATAGAGAGGGGTAGGGCTGGGGAAGGTAGGTGGGATGGTGATAGGTGAGTGCAGTGGTGGTGGTTGGTCAGTGAGGTGGGAGGAGTGGATAAGCGGGAGAGAAGATGGACAAGTCAAGGAGATGGGGATGAGAGGGAGGGTTGGTCATGGGATGAGGATGGGGTGGGGAGATTTTGAAGCTAGTAAAGTCCACATTGAGACCATTGGGTTGTAGGCTCCCAAGGCGGAATATGAGGTGCTGCTCCTCCAGTTTCCAGGTGGCATCGTTGTGACACTGGAGGTGGCCCAGGATGGACAAGTCATCCAGGGAGTGGGAGGGGGAGTTGAAGTGGTTCGTGACTGGAAGGTGTTGTCATTTGTCGCAAACCAAACGCAGATCAAAAACTGAGACAACAAGGTGCAGGGCTGGATGAACACAGCAGGCCAAGCAGCATCATAGGAGCAGAGAGGCTGACGTTTCGGGCCTAGACCCTTCATCAGAAAAGGGGTAGGGGAAGGGGGTTCCGAAATAAATAGGGAGAGAGTGGGAGGCGGATAGAAGAGGGATAGAGGAGAGGATAGGTGGAGAGGAAACAAACAGGTCGAAGAGGCCGGGAGCAGATCAAAAACTGAATGCCTTTAAGTATGCTAAAATAGTTTGCCTGATGGTGGCAGTTATCTATCAAATACCTGAAATTCCTCACCTGAATGAGGTGTTAACTAGCGTATCAGGAAATAAAGCTATGAAACAACTAAAGTAGGGGGGTCAGTTAGCTCAGTTGGTTGCTCAGCTGGTTTGCAATGCTGAGTAACACCAATAGCACGAGTTCAATTCCTACACTGACTGAGGTTAGCACGAAGAACTCTCCTCAACATCTCCTCTCACCGGAGGCATGATAACAGCAGTTATCTCTCTCTACTAAGCGTGCAGCCCTGGTAGGGTTGTGGCAACTTTATACAAGAAGAACAATACAGCACAGGAACAGGCCATTCTGCCCTCCAAGCCTGCACTGACACATTTTGCCCTTCCATATTAAAACTGTCTTCACTTATACGATCTTTATTCCTTTATTCCCTTCCTATTCATGTATTCGTCCAGA